GGACCTTCCGGCGCCCACCACCGAGCCCCGTGAGCTAGAGCGCCGCACCTTCCGGCGAGGCCGCGGCGCGCCGCCGTACATAGGGAAAAGAAGGGCGATAGCGAGGCTTGGGCACCGGAGATGCCTCGGCGGACATCTTGGGTGTGGGCAGGCTCGTGAGCGGGACAAGGTGCCCGCCGCCATCTTTGTTGCGGGCGGATCGAGAACCTCACAGCGAGTTATGTGTGCCGGCAGCTGGCTGAGCTCGTTTCATCAGTCACATACAGTGAAAAATAGTTTTAGTTTAACTCTTCGATGTTGAAGAGTTATTAGTTTGCCAGCAGCGTCTAAATAAAAACCATACTTGCTGTTCCAGGGACAAAAAGAAAGTTCACGCTGAGGCAGGATCAGTGCCCGTTGATAGGGGTTCACGCCCACAGGGGCCAACGCCAGTTTTAATCAGGAGGCTCTCACAAACCCAAACCTGCAATTATCGGGGACAAGAGCAAGCAGCGGAGCTTTCTGCACCTTAAGAATCATCACTTTGCTCTTTGTTGTGCTACCAACCACCTTGTTTCAGTGTCCTTTTCTACAGTAGTTGAAAACTAGATTAAAAAAAATACCTATACCAGCAACAAAATCCCCCAGATAAAACAGCAAGTGGAAGATCTCATCAGTTCCCCAATGGCATCCCCGTCTCCTGTGAGCCTGCACCAGCAGGGCTTGCAGGGCCCACGTCCCTGCCCTGCCATGCTAACCCAGCCTTTATGGGGCCATCGCGCTCATCCTCATTTCCCCAGGTCCCTGCTTCATGTTCCCACCTTCTGCATCCCTCAGAGAGCTGAAATGACCGAAAACACATCACCCCCTTGCTGGCTTACATCCTGCTCCTGCCTTAGGCCGGCCTGAAGTCCCGCGGGGCGGCCCATCCCTCCCCATCAGGCACGCCATGCTGCCTTCACCCGTGGCCTCACAGCCAGGTTGCCTCGGGCAGCCGCCCCTCACGCCCCCCGCTCGGCTGGGCCCAGCGGGTTTCCATCCGGCGGCTGTCTTTCCTCTGCCTGACGTGTCCAGATAGTTGGAGCTTCTTTCTTTCTCATGGTCTGCTGGAAGACTTCTTAGTCTCTCTTCCCTTGATCTGACCCCTGAAGAATTCCACAACCTAACCCAAACCAGCTAACGTAACCGGGCCCCCCAAAGGCTATCAAGAAAGCCAGTACCTCAGATTTGGTGGTCCTTTCCCTCTTTGTGTAAAACATTATCACTACCACCCACTTGTTGATCTGTTGTTTCTCTGTATTGGTTTAGGTTTTTTTTTTTCCTGGGACATTTGTATCACTTCTACCACAACCTTTTCAGCCCAATTAGCACCCCATATAAAGTGGGTTCTTAGGCAAATGAATTGTAGTCCTTTTGCACAACATCAGTAGCAGCCCTATAGTTGTGAATGCCTTTATCACATTCATCTGAAGGACTCGAACAATTTTATGTTCATCAAAACAGAGGAGGAAGAAGCTGAACTATCGTGGCTCTCCCTGCTGGTTGCTGGTTAGCTTCTTAAATCAGTAATATAACATGTACAGAGGCAGGGAACCTTTTTGTTTTCCCTTCACTCAAATGATTTTGAAGTTTGGATTAAACCAGAAGGCATGAAAACAGAAGCAAATCACTGAAAACAAAACCATTTGTAATTCTTTGCTTTGATACTCCTACTTGCTTCACAGGCCTGAGCTCTCAGATTTTGCTTTTATCTTAACCTTTCCTGGAAACCCTGTAGATCGCCTTGGCCATGTGAATCTCACAACAGTATCAGCCTGTGCAAGTGAGCTGCACAGAACTGCTGATACAAGCAAAATTATTCAAATACAAAAGTGTTTTGGATCTGCAGTTTTAACCGACACCTAATGCACAGTATTGCTTCACAAGTTCACAGTCGCATGGGCCCCAGTTCAGGAGAAAATGTGAGCACACATGTAAGTCAAAATTGATGCACGTACTTAAGAGCTTTGCGTTATTGACCTTAGTCTATAACTCTTCCCTTAGTAATAATAGTACCAAAAGATGGTTCTCTGAGGCCTGACTGTCTGCATTCCTCCAAAGGATTTGTCTGTAAAACACCCTGCTTGCTTTCAACTTTGTCCTCACTGAGGACTAGCGCCTTTTATACGTTTGAAGAGAGGCACATCAGTGGAAGTTACAATCACTCAAAAGCATTGTCATGGTGCTTCATTTTTATTACTGCTCACAGCGACCAGTAATTGTTATCTCTGAGTGGCAGAGGAAAATACCAGCACATGGGAGATGCAACTAAAAGCCCAACAACCAAATCTTTTGTGTAAACCGTAGCATTAGCTGAGGGAGGAAGTTGTTTTGTTATACGGTGGCACTGAGAAAACATATTTTCCAAATATTCCTGCCAAGAGATCCCTCTGCAATCACACCAAGGAATTACTGCACCTTGGCGATAGCACGGTGCGAGCAAATGATTGGTTCAGCTCTTGCAGCTCTCCCATAGTATCCATGTAAAAAGACAGCAAGTGAAACGTACAGCTAGCTTAACGAGTCCTGTGTGGCTAGGAGACTCAATTAAAATTAAATTATACAACAAATTAGGTTTTAAATGCTGCGCTGCTTAGCCAGCCAGACAAATAATAATTAGAGATGTACTGATCTGCTGCTATGTGCAGTTGAACAGCGGACTGCTGTAAGTGCTTTCAATATACACTAACGACACCTCGCTCCCAGCTCAGGGTAGTTTTATATGACATTCCAAGTAAGCCATCCCCCAACAGGCCCGTTTTGTACTTGTCACCCTCCTGAGCTGGGCAGAATGGACAGGATCTTTTTCTAGAGTCCATCTTTCCCGTCTGTTCCATCAGTTAATGCTTCTTTAGCGATAGACCTCCCTCTCTTCTTTCTTTCTAGAATCCTGGTCATTCTAGATGGAATTAGTTTTCAGGCTCTGAATTGTGTAGGTATACATATATTAGATTCAGGAGAAAAAGAAGCCACAGATATTTCTTTTTTCCCCCTACCAATAGCGGTACACATACCAGCAGTTTCAAAATACTCCGTGACACGTAGATGGATTCAAGCCAGAAGCTGCTACCTCTGGTACTGGTGTTAACAAAAGAAACGTAGGAGTTCCTGATAGAGAACAACATAGAAATCAGTTCAATTGAAAAGGTCCGGAAGTCAGCTACTCAAATCCTCCTGTAAAATTTCGAATGTATTTGTATTGCATTAATGCCTGGAGCTCTCTATCACCCTGTGGTAGATACCATTCAGAAAGACTAATGCTGTTTAATTTTCTCTGCAATTTTTTTCACCTCTGGTGAAAGTAATATTAAATTCTTAACATCAGATCTGGCAAATGCAACATAGAAAACATGTCTCATGATTAAACTAATAATTATGTGTTCTGCATGGAAAAGAAAGTATTTAAGGATCATCCTAAGCCAGCAAGAGTAATGTTATCATACAGCCATCTTCAGTTGTGGTTTCCTACTGCTGGCTGCCTGTCTGTGGGTAAGGAAAAACAACTTTGTAGTGCAAAAGAAAACATACCAAGGACAGCCTTTTAGTCAAACATTTTCCCAAATACTGATAGCCCAGTCCTGCAGATAATCTATGTTCCTGCCATGCTGTAAATGCGAATGCACCATTAACATGAAGGGGTTTCCGAGTCAGGCAGCCAGCCCCAGATCTCTTCCTTATTATGTGGTAGAGAAAGGAAGACAGCCAGAGACATCATATGAGAAGGGAACAGGAAAAGGATCATTTATATCCCTTTTCTTATGCTGTTTATCCAGACATCCATTACTGACCACTGCTAGTGTTTGGGAAACTTAATCTAGGGGAAACTAGCATGGCAGTTCCCGTGTTGTGACTCTCTCTCCTTATTAGTCCACTGCAAAGCCTTTGAATTACTCATAAGTTACAAGGTTAAGCAGCAATGAGTTTACGTATGTCAAAAGGAAGGACTCCCTGGGAAATTCAGAGGACCTTATGGGAAAACAAACAAAACCAACACACCAAAACCGTGCACACAGGAGCTAACGAAACAATGCAGTTCCCCAGAAGTTCCTTTCAGCGGGGACCACGACTGAGCCTTGTTGGTGGGGCAGAAGGAGCAATGAAGAGACTGCTCTGTGCCCAGCTGCCAAACCTAGATCAAAAATAACACAATTGTTGCTCACACCTCACAGGTTAGCTTCACTGGATGCAGCACCGACATAGAGCATTCCCAGTTCTCTTTGAAACCCCTTTGCAAATGCAGCCAGGTATTTCCCAAAGAGACCTAACAAATTATAATAATTAAAAAACCTTGCTGACATTTCTTTTTAGAAATCACTAACATCCAATTGTTTTGTTACATCCAAATAGAATTCTAAAGCTGTGGAATATACGCTTTGACATTATTTACATCCTTCTTGTCTTGCAGCCTGAAGGGGCAAAGCAGTTTAAATTTTTGCCTTTTGCATTTTTTAGTTTCTACGCATCAAACCCTATAGCTATCTTGCAAGCCCAGCACATGGTCATTTCTGTCTAACAAAGAAAGCAATTCCACTTGC